TTAACCCTGAACCCTAACCCTTAACCCTTTAACCCTTAACCCTTCACCCTTCACCCTTAGCCCCAAGCCGCCCCACAAGCATCCCTGTACCCTTGCGCCATGACAGTACTTTAGGGGCCTAAATAATTAGAATGTTTTTTTTTGTGGGGGGGGGGGGGTATCATAGTATATGTATATAGGAACCCTTAAGGGAATCATATTAGCAATTACTCTAATTTTTCCGACCCCTATTTAAGGCATCTGGCGACCCTCGAGTCGGATTGGCACGTCTGTTTCGGGTCAATGCGCGCGTGCGCGTTGTTTTTCTTACAATTTTCCCATGTCATGTTTTTGAGAGGTTACAATAGAAGGCGAATCTATAGGCAATTTTCTAGAGGTTCCTGTAAGAAGCTTCGAACTAAGCAACGTAGATGCTCGAAAACGATCCGCCAGCTGCGCATGATGAACAGCTAAAGCTGAGAAGATATGCCACCGGCTCTTTCAATCACAGAAAACCCAAGGAAACGAGCGAATTGACCCTTAGCGTGCATCGGTGTTCTTGGATCTCAGAATAATTCGACATAATTACCCCAAACCCACACCCCTTAACCTCTAAATAAAAGGACGGAGTTTACCCTTACCCCTTAATTTCTGTTAAGGTGTATGCCCACGGGTTTTGAATATTTCTTAGACTGTTGAATTTTGTACACTGAGCGAGAATAGGCCCTAAACCCTAAACCCTCAACCCTAAACCCTAAACCCTGAACCCTAAACCCTAAACCCTAAACCCCTAACCCTAATTGTGGAGCATTGCGCGACTTGCAAGTTTGCGTCGCTGGGGCTTCAACTTGGGGTGCCCGGCAAGCTATGACAAATTTGCTTCAGCCCTAAACCCTAAACCCTAAACCCTAAACCCTAAACCCTAAACCCTAAACCCTAAACCCTAAACCCTAAACCCTAAACCCTAAACCCTAAACCCTAAACCTAACTAAACCCTAAACCCTAAACCCTAAACCCTAAACCCTAAACCCTAAACCCTAAACCCTAAACCCTAAACCCTAAACCCTAAACCCTAAACCCTAAACCCTAAACCCTAAACCCTAAACCCTAAACCCTAAACCCTACAAGCCCTAAACCCTCCACTTTGCATCCCTGCGTTGTGATTGCGAGGCTGCTAGGCATGTGCCAAAAAAAGATCCTAAGCCCTCAGCCCCAAAGCCATTTATAGGGTTCTTCCGAGATGGAGTTTAGGGTTTAGGGTTTAGGGTTTAGGGTTTAGGGTTTAGGGTTTAGGGTTTAGGGTTTAGGGTTTAGGGTTTGGAGGTTCAAGGGGGGTAGGTCCCTAGGCAACCTTGGGGAAGCCTAGGGAGGCTTAGAGAGTAGTGGGGGAGTGTTAGGGGAACCTTGGCTTACATACGCCAATTTGAACTTGAACCCCACTCCCTTAAGAGCCCTAATTCCTAAACCCACCCTAAACCCTAAACCCTAAACCCTAAGCCCTAAACCCTAAACCCTAAACCCTAAGCCCTAAACCCTAAACCCTAAACCCTAAGCCCTCCCATCTGCGACACCCCGCTCGTTTAAGAACCCTTATAATCCCTTCCCCCTAATACTAAAACCCCCCCTAATTTTAAATATAATTTTCCCCGGACCCCCCCGGCAGCCAGCCCAATACTAAACCTGTTTGAGAATTAGGGGGGGGGGGGGTTGAGGGCCTTCGCCCTTGAGTTCTTGAGTTGAGCCATTATTAGGTTTCGGAATTCAGGTTTTAGGATTTAGACCCCCCCTAATTTTAAATATTTTTCGGGCCCAGACGAATTTCAGAATTAGGGGGGGGGGGGGGGTTTTAGTATTAGGGGGAAGGGATAAAAACCCTAAACCCTAAACCCCAAACCCTAAACCCTAAACCTAAACCCTAAACCCTAAACCTAAACCCTAAACCCCCAAAAAGCCATGGCGGGCCGGGCGCCGGGCCGTGGGCCGAGGGAGTCGTTGACTGGACCCGGCACGAACCACGGACGTGGGAGCCGGGACGCTTGAGACTTCGAGAGAGAGTTCTTGGGGGTTTAGGGTTTAGGGTTTAGGGTGTAGGGTTAAGGGTTGAGGGTTTAGGGGTTTCAGAGTTTGGGGGTTAGGGTTTTTTGGTTTAGAGCCGTGCTGACGAAAAACTGAGTTGAGGGGTTCATCTTATTGGGGGAGGGGGACCCAGAGTAGGGTTAGGGTTACAGCAGTTTGCAAGGGTTTTCAGGGCTAGGACTGAGGGTTGTGGTGGGGTTCTTGTTGCTGAAATGGGGGGGGGGGGGGGCTGGGTTTGCTCCGACCCCAATCAATGCATCAGAAGGAGAGTTTAGGGCTTCATCCACCGATAGGTCTGAATTCATAAGAAGGACCCCAAGGCATTTCCACATCTCCCCTAAACCCCAAACCCCTAAGCACTAAGCCCTAAACCCCAAACCCCAAACCCCAAACCCCAAACCCCAAACCCCAAACCCTAAACCCAAAACCCAAAACCCTAGACCCGGTGGTCTTGGGAGATTGTGGAGACTCTTCGAGTTCATGTTCATGGGGTTTGGTTTCTGGAAGCTTCAGAGGAACCCTAAACCCTAAACCCTAAACCCTGAACCCTAAACCCTAAATCCCAAGCCCTGAACCCTAAACCCTAAACGCTTCACCCTGAATCCCACAAACTCTAGTTGAGGGTTTTGGTTGAAATTTATAAGGTTTAGGGTTTAGGCGTTTTAGGGTTAAGGGTTTAGGTGTGTTAGGGTCTAGGGGTTAAGGTTTTGGGTTTCGGTGGCGTAGGGTTCTTACGGCTTAGGCAATCAGAAAGTCGGGTTTCCAAAAAAAGGGTTGCAGAGTGCCCGGGTTCAAAGAAGGGGGGTAACCCTACACCCTACACCCTACACCCTAAACCCTAAACCCTAAACCCGGAACCCTAAACCCGAAACCCTAAACCCTAAACCCTAAACCCTACACCGATCCCAGCTTCCAGGAATCTCTTCAAGACATTTCCCGGGCGCCGCTGCACTGCGTTCGCACGTGGTGATAGCCCTAATCCCTGAACCCTAACCCTACACCCTACACCCTACACCCTACACCCTGAACCCTGAACCCTGAACCCTGAACCCTGAACCCTGAACCCTGAACCCTGAACCCTGAACCCTGAACCCTGAACCCTGAACCCCAACCCTAAACCCTAAACCTTAAACCCTAAACCCTAAACCCTAAACCCTAAACCAGGGTTTTAGGGTGGAGGGTTTACGGTTTGGGGCTTGTGGTTTGGGGAGTTGGGATGCGTGGCTTGGTGGCCGTCTTAGTCTGGGTTCCGAAAAGAGTATTCGGGCATTAGGGTTTCGGGTTAGGCTTGTGGGCTGTAGAGGCTTAAGCTTTTGGGGGAGTTTTGTGAGAGTTGGGATTTTGGGGGGTTTAGGGTTTATGGTCTACGGGTTTGCTTGTCCATGGCTCGAAACGTGAGAGCTGGTGCCAAGGGAAGCTTTGGCCAGCATGTTTTGGTGTAGCCAAGCCCTCCGCTCCTTGCTCAGATGGGATGTGCTTCTCAGAGCCGTTTAGGGTTGTAGTGTCTTTTGGGGATCCTAAGCCTTGCAGCCCCTAAACCCTAAACCCCAAACCCTAAACCCTAAACCCTAAACCCGAAACCCTAAACCCTAAACCCTAATTAAACCCTAAACCCTGAACCCTAAACCCTAAACCCAAGAACCTCTTGGAAATGAGGGTTTATGCAAGTAGTCATGTCATTCGGACAAATGCCGCTGCACACTGCCTACTTGTGGAAGGGTTCGGCAAAAAGGGGTGAAAAGAGGGCAGCAGCCACATACTTACAGATCCGACAAGCCCTAAAGCACTGACCCAGTGCCCTAAACCCTAAACCCTAACACTCCCCCTAGTGCGTGGCCAGACGGGTGGCAAAAAGCCCCTAAACCCTATAAACCCTAAACCCTAAACCCTAAACCCTAAACCCTAACCCCAAGCCCTACACCCAAGAAAACTGAAAACCTGGAGCCAGGCATCCTGGTCGCCCACCAGGGTCGGCTCGTCTACGAGCACCTTGGCATCGCGAAGGGCCGACTTTTCAAAGCCCCTAAGCCCTAAACCCTAAATATGAAGCTCACGGCTTGAAGCCAGCAGCCGTCCTGCCCCAAAACCTAAACCCTAAACCCTAAACTCTGAACCCTGAACCCTAAACCCTAAACCCTAAACCCTAAACCCTAAACCCTAAACCCTAAACCCTTTCCTCTCTTACGATCGATGGCTCCTCGTGGCAGTCTAGAGGCACTACGCCCCCGGCGCCGATGCGTCCGAGCAGATTGAGCTCGACAGCGCGGCGAAGACGATCAGCGCGCTCCTCCTGGGGGTCTTGGTCACGCAAGGTGGGGGACCAGGGTTTCGGGGCTGTAGGGTTTGGGGTTTAGGGTATGGGTTCAAAAAAGGTTTAGGGTTTAGGGTTTAGGGAAATGGGTCTAGGGGGTGTAGGGTTCAGTGTTTAGGGTATGGGTTCAAATAGGGTTTAAGGTTTAGGATGTAGGGGCTAGGGTTTAGGGCTTAGAGTTTCGGGGTTGCCCAACCGCAAGTATCCAACCGATGCACTATCCCTGTCACACGCAACTAGTCTTCCACACTGTCGAGCGGTGGCCGTGGCATCTCGGAGAGGTAAGTTGGACATCGACCGGCCATTGGCGGAGTACAATGTGAAGCCTGTTGCATACTGGGGCGGCTTGGCTTTGTAGGATTTAGGGCTAAATCTAAGAGCTTTCCTGATTTGAGTGGCCATTCGCTGCTTCTGTGCTGCGCAATATGCTGGGAGAAGTGGAGCGTCATGAGAACAATCAAGATGTGGCGTTCACAGTTGCATCCGCGGTCTTTCGCAGGACTGGACTCTAGCAATTTACAGACCAGATCTTAATATTTCCAACGGTGCCCCTTAAACCCTAAACCCCAACAAACAACCCACAACCCCAGGTGAACATCAGAAGTACTGGCCCCTGATCACCGCACGGCACTTGATGACTCACACCTCCGGATTGGGCACCGGACCTCCAGGCGTGAAGTTCGATCCTTGGCGGTTTAGGGTCTAGATCTGAGTTTAGGGTTTAGGGTTTAGGGTTTAGGGTTTAGGGTTTAGGGTTTAGGGTTTAGGGTTTAGGAGATGCGAAGCAGGTTTATGTCAGCCGGATCTGATGGGATGTGCCAGAAAAGTGGTGCAAGATTTAGACATTTTTGGGGTTCCGGGGTGCTAAGAATAATAGTTCAACATACCCCAAACCCATACCCCTTAAACTATAAAAGGAGAACGTAAGGAAGGATTCTGTCAGACCCCCTAAGTTCTGTGTAAGGGTATGCCCAAGGGGTATGTTGAATATTTCTTGGGCTTTTTTGTACCAGAACAGGCCCTAAAGCCCCTAAACCCTAAAGGCACAAACCCTAAACCCCCGAACCCTAAATTGTGGCAGGTTGGTTCTTCGGTTTCAGTGGCAGGTAGTCATCACCTGGACCCCCAGGTCCCAGATTCATTCGTGTCATACGGACGCCACTAACACTCCGCCAATGCTAGGGTTTCAGGTTCTAGGCTTTAGGCTTTAGGGTTTAAGGTTTAGGGTTTTAGGGTTTGGTTTACGGCAAATCAAGTCCAAACCTTAAACCCTAATTCCCACACGTGATAGAGTATTCCCTTTTGGCCCCTGTATAGTAAAAAAAACCCAAAACCCTACTCTCAGCATTAAGGCCCCGAAACCCTAAACCGCAATATTCCTATTCCGTACGCAGCCGCTCCCTCAGAGATCGAAGGAGTACAACAGTGGGGAGCACATCCAGCACCTCAGTGCGCTGATCCGGGCCCTGACATCGGAGCAGCTTGTTTTTCACAGGAAGGGTGCTTTAGGGTGTAGGGTTTGGGGGCCTCAGAGAGAGAGAGAGAGAGACAGACAGAGAGACGGAGAGACGGAGAGAGCGAGAGAGAGAGAGAGAGAGAGAGAGAGACAGAGAGACAGAGAGACAGAGAGACAGAGAGACAGAGAGACAGAGAGACAGAGAGACAGAGAGACAGAGAGACAGAGAGACAGAGAGACAGAGAGACAGAGAGACAGAGAGACTTCCTGGCTTGCCCAAATTCCCCGTCACTTCTTTCGGGATTTACGAGGGCTGCCCTTCCCTCCTTCCAGGATCAAGTTTCTCGCATGAGAGGCGAAAGCAGGGTAAACAGGGTATTTAAGTGGCAGGTTTTGCGCAGTCTACCGTGAAGTTCGCCACCCCCCCCCCCCCCCCCCCCCCCCCCCCCCCCCCCGCCTCCTAAACCCTAAACCCTAAACCCCTAAACCCCTAAACCCTAAACCCCAAAACGCTAAACCCCTAAACCCTAAACCCCTAAACCCTAAACCCCTAAACCCCCGTGAGCACAGCATGTGGGTAGTCAAGGCACTACGCCAGCCCCGTCGACTGGGCTGAAGACCAGTTCGCCAGGCCTCTAGGACTTCCAGGCCATGATGGGGTTTAGGGTTTAGGGTTTAGGGTTTAGGGTTTAGGGTTTAGGGTTTAGGGTTTAGGGTTTAGGGTTTAGGGTTTAGGGTTTAGGGTTTAGGGTTTAGGGTTTAGGGTTTAGTAGGGTTTTTAGGGTTTATCAGGACTTTGTACTTGATGCCTAGGTAGGCTTTTGTGACTTACTTCATTTTTTGAGAGGGTTGTATTCTGAATTCGTTTTTTGAGGGTATGTAAGGCCAATCTCGGATGTAGCCCAAGGGAAAAGGCCATGAGTAACGATGAACCGGGAGAGGAGGATCTGAATGCATAGCAGAGTATCTCCATACATCTCGGTCATATCAATATGTACATCTACACAGAGAGCACAAAGAGAGAGAGAGAGAGAGAGAGACAACAAAAAAGAAAGATGTTCTGAGTCTGTGAGATTATTCCCAAGTCCCAAGCTTCTGAACCCCTAGATTCACACCCTTTTTGGTTGTCTTCATCTTGTGTATTCCTCCGAAATCCTCCAGGGCTCTTCGCCCATGATGGCCTGGATGGAGACGTCTCGATTGGCGGGGGTCAGCTCATGAGCTGCCCACAGCTAGCGAGGAGCCTTGACAGGATTAGGGTTTAGGGTTTGGGGTTTAGGGTTCAGGGTTTGGGGTTTAGGGTTTGGGGTTTAGGGTTTGGGGCTTGGGGTTTGGGGTTTAGGGTAATTTAGGGTTAAAAGGTGAACCATGATCTTGGCAAGATTGTTCGGAGCCCAGTATTCAAAAAGGGTCAAAATGAGAAGGTGCCTTCAATGATTTGCCCATTCTTCAGTTGGGGATGCGGGTTTCAGGTCTGTGGAGCTGCTTGTGCGGCCCAAGCGAGTCAAGTTGTTCGGCTGGTCAAGAGGCTTCTTCGTGTAACTGCCTGAAGTTCAGAATGCCAGCTTCCGCAGAGACTCCTGTTACCCCTGAACCCTAAACCCGAAATCGCCCTAAACCCTAAACCCTAAACCCTAAACCCTACACCCTAAACCCTAAGCCCTACTGTGCTCCCTTGGCTACGGATCGGCCACTCTAAACCTGAGCCGAGTGACAGCAGCCCTTTGAGTCTGGGGAGGCCCTGTTTAGGGTTTAGGGTTTAGGGTTTAGGGTTTAGGGTTCAGGGATCAGCCCCAACAAAGCGGGAACGCAGTTTTCAAACAATTTGCCCAAGGGAGCACAGCAGGGTTTAGGGTTTAGGGTTTAGGGTTTAGGGTTTAGGGTTTAGGGTTTAGGGTTTAGGGTTTAGGGTTTAGGGTTTAGGGTTTAGGGTTTAGGGTTTAGGGTTTAGGGTTTAGGGTTTAGCAAACCTAAAGTCCTATTTCCCCTGATGGGTTGAGTATCGGACTGTGCTGCACATGCAAAGAAACATCAAACTTAGTAAGGGCATTCGGGACATAAGTACCTTCTATTCCAAATATTGCCCTTTCAGGGGGGCATAGAGACTACCTACTTCCCGCATTCCCTATACGAAGAACTGTAAAGGAGATTCCTTGGAATGTTCCCCTTTATACGAACAGTCCTTGCTAGGGATTACAAGAGTGGGTACTAGAATCGCTATTCAGGACTGCTAGTGCACGGGGGAACATCCCAAGAGATTCCCCTCAAGGATTGGGCAGCTGTTGATCAACCGTGGGGCCTGGCCCGTCTCTGCCGCCCCAGCCTGGCCACTGGACTGGCCCTGCCCTCAGCAACTGACATGGGGTGCCTTGACGCGCGCCTTAGGGTTTAGGGTTTCGGTTTTGGGGTTTAGAGTTTTGGGTTTGGATTTAGGGTTTAGGTCCGTGAACTGTAGTCCTTCTAGCGGCTCTTTGACTTCGTGCTCCATTTCACTCATGTGCTCTTTCCTCCTCCTCCGTTCAAGACCGTATCATCCTGGAACTTGGAGCCCTACCTTTCCTGTCATTTAGTTCATCTGTTGGACTGGACACAACACCCTCGATAGACAAGATTCACGTGAAGAAGAGGTCATTTCGCTTTGTTGTTCGCTCCTTCCTTGGGCCAACATGCCAGCCGCTGCGTACTTCCTTCACTAAAAGCCACATAATAATGGTTATTTTGTAAGCTCGCGCACGAAACCTTATTAGGGCGTGTCTGTAAGGTTGGGACACAAGACCCCGAGAACTTGGATGTAGAACTTAAGCCTTTGGAAACAGCCTGGTGTGCAAAAGTCTCCGTAACATCTAGTAAATTCATGCGCGGGCTTCTATATACCACATGTTAATTGGTTTTTGTGTCATTCACTTCGTTCATGAGGCTTTTCGTAAAAGCATTATTGTAGGGGTTAGGGATAGAAGGTTTAGGGTTTAGCGATGAATGCACGCGTAAAGATGCAGTTGTATATACATATATATATATACGTATGCACAAGTAGCTAGGGGGCTTCTCGCTCAAAATGTATTTAAATCCCCCCCCCACCCCACCAGATGCTGTGTGAGGTTTACGGTGTGAGGGTTTATGCCTTTAAGGTTCAAACGATGGGTGTTGACCTCGGCGATTGTGCATGCAGTTTCCGGGTTCGACAAACGGGCGTGCCGGTTGAGGGTTTTGCGGTTTGGGGTTCGGGGGTTCGAAGGTTTGGGTTCCGACAGCTCAGCTGGCGGGGCGACGAGGCACGCCCCGCGCAAAAAGGGCGCGTTGCCAACACAAAGGGTTTGTAGCTGTTGGGTTTAGGGGTTTCGGGTGTGCACGCGAAAGCACTAAACCCTAAACTTGGATGTTCACCGTTAGACTAACAGTCCTTAAGCCTTAATAGGGATTATCGTACCCCCCCCCCCCCCTATTCCAATCCCTGTTAAGGACTGTTAGTATAAAGGGGGAGCATCCCAACACTAAACCCTAAACCATAAATCTAAACACTAAACCCTAAACCCTGCGTACCCATTAGTAACGAAACACCAAGGTTGCCGTGGGCCACCAATAAGACTTCGGTCTTCCAGCTGGTCAGCAACCAGGATGCCCAGCAGTACCCTGTTTGTCCGGGCGCGGATGCCTTCATGAAACCCCTTCTAAGCCCAAAAAAAGGGCTTAGGGCTTAGGGTTTAGGGTTTGGGGTTTAGGGTTTAGGGTTTAGGGTTTAGGGTTGGTTCCTGGGCAGCCGAGGCAGAGACTACATCCGTGAGATGAGCCGCCCATCTTTTCCACAGGCCACGGTCGGTGAAGCATCCCTAGGCCCTAAACCCTAACCCTAAACCCTGAACCCTGAACCCTAAACCCTAAACCCTAAACCCTAAACAGCCTGCGGGTGGCAAAAAAACAGCCTAAACCCCTTTCAAGGTGGCAACATCTCTTTCAAAGTGTTCAGGCTTGAGGGTTTAGGGTTTAGGGCTACTAGGACGCAGAGCAGGCCCTTTATTCCATTTTGGGGGCTTTTAGGTTCCCTTACAAGCCCGTTCATCTCTTGGTTACTCTTGGTCTGGTATTGGGTCTTGGCAGGGGAATTGGAGCTTCGGGGTGGTTTTTGCTCTTCTCTGGTCTCTTAAGGGGCCTATCTTGGGAGGGTGTAGGGAACTTCATGCCCTGTTTCCCCACTTAAGAGCCCGTAAAAGCCAAACATCTTGGAAAATTGTTGCCCTGAACCCTAAACCTTAAACCTGTAGGGTTTAGGGTTTAGGGTTTAAGGTTTAGGGTTTAGGGTTTAGGGTTTAGGGTTTAGGGTTTAGGGTTTAGGGTTTAGGGTTTAGGGTTTAGAGCTCATGGTAGGCCCCGGCCCCTTAGTTAGTAGCTTAGTACTTACCGACACCTGCTTCCAAGCCTCACGAGCGTCGAAGTAGCGACATGATTTGAGGACCGATGACCCTAAACCCTAAACCCTAAACCCTAAACCCTAAACCCTAAACCCTAAACCCTAAACCCTAAACCCTAAACCCTAAACCCTAAACCCTAAACCTAACCCTAAACCCTAAACCCTAAACCCTAAACCCTAAACCCTAAACCCTAAACCCTAAACCCTAAACCCTAAACCCTAAACCCTAAACCCTAAACCCTAAACCCCAAACCCTAAACCCTAAACCCTAAACCCTAAAAGGCAGAGAGTGCAGAGAAGGAGAGAACAAGAATCAGACTGGGGAAAGGAAACGTAGTTCGTAGGTTAGTAATAGGGTTTAGGGTTTAGGGTTTAGGGTTTAGGGTAGTAGGGCATGAGTGGGTTCATAATCGCACCCTGAGTGATTGAGTTGGGGTATCCTCCAAAACCCTCAGACATGGAAGCCCTGGACATCAGATAGACTGTGCTGTTTAGGGTTTTAGTTAGGGTTCATGTGCCCTAAACCCCCTTTCCATCGCAGGCGGTTTCAACTTATGGCTTGCTTATGTGGATCAACCACGCTGCCGCCCCGGATGAGACCAGCTGCTGCATGAGCCTCGAAAGCAAGGGAGCTACGAGGAGAGCTCTCTTCCGACCCACAAATGAATGAACATGTATTCATGAGGGGTTTACGAAAGTACGGGACCCCCAATAGAGTCTCCCAAATAGTGGGATTCCTTTAAAGGACCCCAATAAGGTACCCCTAACCTCGGAAACCCCCATATGTTTATATACATGTAGAAGTGCATATAGGCGCTTTTTGCTAATACCTCCATGAAATTCTGTCATTTGTTTGGGAATTTCCCAAATCGGGGTACCCCTTTGATACCCCAAATGGAATCGAATCCCCTTCAAAGGGACCCCCCAAAAAGGGTACAGTACCCCCTATTTTCGGAAACCCCCCATTTTGGCGTTCCAGGTGCACATGTGGCGCGTGTTTCGGAGTCCCGGAACCACCGATCTTCGGCATCAACGAGGAGGCTGGCGCTGCTAGTGCGTGAGCACGCGCGTTCATTGCCATGATGCCCCTGTCCTTAAGACCACACATGCCTCACATCACTGCTTGTGAGGCGTGGTTTGCCACGGGCTACCTCACCCGATATTTGATAATGTTCCCTGTGCCTCGGCCAACATTTGGAGCCCAACATTTGGAGCGTGCACCTCCTGAAGACAATAGCTGCCATGGCAGCCTCTATCGACCACGGGCGGTACGCTCGTCATTCAATCGGGACCATTGTGTCCGGCGGGCGGGATTGGGATTGCTGCACAGAAGTTCAAAGCTTTTTGTCACAAGCTTTGAAGGTTTCACTTTCATGCGAATACTGACGTTTGGCTCCACCGCAGGGGCCAAATTCCTGTCGTTTTCAGCATGCACACGCGCGCGCAATAGGGATTCCATCAGGGTTCTCAAGATTTCCACACTCGGAAGAAGCCCAAACCCTAAACCCGGACCCTAAACCCTAGACCCTGGACCCTAGCTAAACCCTAAACCCTAAACCCTCAACCCTAAACCCCAAACCCCAAACCCTAAACCCTAAACCCTAAACGCCTGAGGAACGAGATGCCTTTGTGGTTTCGCTGGGTATGGACCTTACCGGCTCGACGCCCTGCTCCGTGACCTGGTCGTGGCTTCCCGGCTCATTCGTAGGGTTAGGGTTTAGGGTTTAGGGTTTAGGGTTTAGGGTTTAGGGTTTAGGGTTTAGGGTTTAGGGTTTAGGGTTTCGGGTTTAGGGTTTTGGGTTTTGGGTTTAGGGTTTAGGGTTTAGGGTTTAGGGTTTAGGGTTTAGTTTTTAATCAAGTCCGGTTTCAGAAGGGTTTAGGGGCCTTCAGGGTGTAGGGTGTAGGGCTTGGGGTGAGAGCCTTTAGGCCCTTTAGAACGGGGGTTGAGGGTTTAGGGTTTTAGGACCATACGGGGATTCGGGTTTGCGGGTTTTTAGGGCAGTTTGGGATTTCAGGGCTTCTTCCTAGCTAGGACCAGCCTTGTCGAGGTCGGGTGTCCTGTGGTACCAAGCTGAGCCTCCGTTGTTCCAGGGCTCATCAGCAGCACGAAAGAGACGTAGGGCATGGAGTGCTGCACATGACGGCACTACCGAGTCATGGAGCACAGGGTTTTCTCCCAAACGTGGTTTTCCCTGTGCCCCAGGTTTAGCTTGAGGTTGTGTAGCTTGCGAGGGCCTCTAGGCATGGGAGTGAGCTCGAGGTTCTCGATCACCTATGATGACTCCTTTGGGGCCTTCCTGCACTACCTCGTGATTCAGGCTACGCGCGGGTCTTGCCCTGGACCCAACGCCTTTTCTCGTCTCATTCCAGAAACAAAGAGACACACCCTAAACCCTAAACCCTAAACCCTAAACCCTGAACCCTGAACCCTGAACCCTGAACCCTGAACCCTGAACCCTGAACCCTGAACCCTGAACCCTGAACCCTGAACTAGGCCGCTTTGCCTTTGCCAGCGTCCACGACGACCCTCACGAGCACCACGCGGACCCGAACCCTGACCACCACCACAGTGACCTCCACCACCTACACCTCCACTTCCCGAACGGAAGCGACTTGGCATCCTACAATCCACAAAGGAGGAGGCATGCTTGTCGTCATGACAGCAAGTGTATGAGCACCGAGCATCAAATATGTCCGCAGCAGAGGCGGGCTGTCAACCCAGTATCAACCCTGAACTCCCCCTAGAGCCCTACAAAAGCCCCCCCTAGAGCCGCACAAGGTCATCGAAACCACCACCACCATTGTCACGACGGCGGCTGGCGATCACTGGCCCTTCGACTGGCTCTGGCCCACTACGACCACCACCGCCGGGTGGTGGCCGTGGCTGTTGGTTGAGGACACAAAGCCCCATGGTGGCGTCAACATTGTCCCCGGTGTGTTGAGCTTAGGGGCTGGGTAGTTAACCTTAAACCTTTTTGGTTATATGTAATTCTATGACAAATATAAGGTTGACCTGTTTTTGGGGCTAGGGTATTTAGCCCCTGAGTGAGGTGGTGTAGATACTGGGCAGCGGCATATGCGTTTCACAATCCCTCAAGTCGGTGGGCGAGCTTCTCTCCCAGCTTGCAGCCCATAGTCCCACTTGTTTAGGGTTTAGGGTTTAGGGTTTAGGGTTTAGGGTTTAGGGTTTCGGGTTTAGGGTTTAGGGTTTAGGGTTTAGGGTTGCTTCTGCTAGGGCAAGCCTTGGGATGGTTTGGTTGCTGGGTTTGGGGGCTCCTGGAGCTTCCGCTGCACGAGTCAGTGGTGGTTCCCTGTTTGTGGTCACAGGTTTAGGGTTTAGGGTTTAGGGTTTAGGGTTTAGGGTTTAGGGTTTAGGGTTTAGGGTAGTCACTGAAGCCACTGCAGAGTCGGCACTTCGTCGACGCAGGCCTGACCCCTGCAAAAGTCGCCCCCCTAACGGAACCAATACAATCTGAACTTTGTTTTCGGCACAACATGACGTGCTAGAAAAGGTGGGAGAAGATGCCTGAGTGATTGAGATAGCCCAAAATTACTGTAGTGCTCTGACATAAGAGATCACTTTATGGTGAGGACTAAACCCTAAAGCCCTGCAGTCGTAGGACCATGAGCGAGGCAGGGATGAAGGGGAAGAGCTTGGGATAGGGTTTAGGGTTCAGGGTTTAGGGTTTAGGGTTTAGGGTTTAGTGTTTAGGGTTTAGGCTTTAGGGTTTAGGGTTTAGGGTTTAGGGGTTAGGGGTTAGGGGTTTAGGGGTTTAGGGCCAGTTTAGGGTGTCGAACTTCATCTTAGGCTGTTGAAGAACTCAACAACGACGACCACCAGCCTCGACCTCTCCACGGTCATTTACAACCATGGGACGCCTGCTGAGGCAAGAGATCAAGGTTCGGACCCTAAACCCTATCCCTAAACCCTAAACTCTAAACCCTAACCCTAAACCCTAAACTCTAAACCCTAAACCGCGTTTACCGCGACTTTGTTGTTGAACGAAATGCAGGCAGACCGCGCATCTTGGGGTTCCCATGTTCGCAGATCGTGGCCGCGGAAGGTTACACTTTTTGTGCTTCAAATGCTGAGCGCTAGAGAACGTTCACTTCTCCACTCTTCTATCCAATCAGACCTGCTAGCCGCCAAGCCTCCGCTCCATGGCCACCCGAAACGACGTGACCTTTGTGGGCTGCGTGCTGCGCAAAACGAGGAAGCAGACATCAACATACCCAGTAGTTCAGGCACTTGTCCGTTCTATGACGAGTATACTTGGAAGGTTCAGGGCACTTGTAACCCAATTATCTCTGTACTGTTACAATCTCTCTGAGTCCTATAAGTAGGCTATAAGTGGACTTATACTTGGGGTTTTAAAGTACCGATGACCCACCAAGTACCTGAGCCTTCCCAACTAGAGACAGCTGAGGACGAAGTCCAACGCGTCTCGGGTGCGCAAGGATCGTCGGAAGCAGAAGAAGAAACAGAAGCAGCGAGAGCATGCTGGCAATGCTGACTGGGACAAAGGACATCACCCTAAACCCTAAACCCTAAACCCTAAACCGTGTGAGACTGATGATGAGACTTTAGTCTTGCACAGCTTGAAGGAGTTGTGATTAGGTTGAGTAGACGTTTTGTGCTGGGCCGTTTGGCCCTTTACCTTTGTAAGTGGGCTCCTTAATGTTGGCTCAACCTAGATGGCAACACCAGACCAGTTTTTCAGACCCGTATTTGAAACCGCCTATTCCCTGCAGAGTGTCCGAGAGGTCAGCTAAGCGGGTGGCAAAAAAAACCCTAAACCCTAAACCCTAAACCCTAAACCCTAAACCCTAAACCCTAAACCCTAAACCCTAAACCCTAAACCCTAAACCCTTTTGAAGCCTGTTGGGTGTGAGACTCTGCATGCTTGGCTCTCCATTGGTTGTTGTCAGTGGTCTGGTAGCCGTACGGACAGCGGCCCTTCCTCCGAAACCTCTGCTTACTTTGTGGTACTTTACCGTAACTTTAGATCCTTACCCTTTTTGGGTTTATTGGGTTTCTTAAGAAGGCAGCTAAAAGTTTATTTTATAGCTACCCTCCTGAGTGCAGCCAAGCTTAGTGCAGTCTTGAGTGCCATGTAGTTGGCCTAAGGACTTGCAGTTGTGTGGCGCGGTATCCGCGGATGGAGAGCACGTTTCACATGATGCCCCGTGCCCCGGTTGTCTCGTCCTTACTCGCCACAGCGGCGGAAGTTGCACGAAGAAGCTATAGAGCCCTAAACACGAAACCGGCGTCGAAGCTCCCCCCCCCCCACGCCCCCTTGCAATACCAGCGCGCACGTGGCCGGGAAGCCTAGAGTCTCAGAGGCTTTGATTAGATGTGGTGGAGGTCTGATTGTTTTGGTTCTAAGGGCTTAGGCAACAAGGGGTTGAGGGGGTTGGGAGCCATGTCGACCGGGATGGGGCTTGAAGAAGCTTAGTTTAACAGGGTTTCGAGAGTGGAATTGAGTCCAGAGAAGGCAACCGACGAAGGCAGGGTGTGTGTGATTTGAACAAACAACTGACTCAGAGGCCTCACAGAACACATCAGGCTGTGTCCAAGCCAATTCGGCCCTGCGTTTAGGGCTAAGGGTGTAGGATTTCGGGGTTAGGGTCTTGGGCCCACCCCGAACACGAGCATCGGTCTCCCCTAAACCCTAAACCCTAAACCTTTAACCGTAAACCCTAAAAAGCCCTAAACCCTAAACCGCAGGATACTCCGGCGCATCAGGATACTCCGGCGGCTCCTGTACATGCAGCTGCCCGGTGGACCAAGACTTCGGGCGCTGCTACCCTTTGCCGGATGCTCTGGGCATGCCGTAACATTTTGCGAAGTGCTGTGCTAAAGAAGTTCAAAAGCTGCGCCCTTTTGTTTAGAGGGAGAGAGAATCAGAAAGAGCGAGAGAGAGAGAGAGCGAGAGAGAGAGAGAGGGAGAGTTTGTCTCAAGAACAAGCAAGGATGAAATGACCTTCAAGAAGTGGCGCTATGGACAGGAGTGCCGTTCACTCTGAGGTTGAGCCTTCCAGGCTCAGGGCCTGTAATTAGCAAGAAGTTCCCAGGTTGGGGGAACTTCGGGGGTTTCGGGGGTTTAGGGGGTTTAGGGGGTTTAGGGGGTTTAGGGGGTTTAGGGGGTTTAGGGGGTTTAGGAGGTTTAGGAGGTTTAGGAGGTTTAGGGGGTTTAGGGGAATTAGGGGGTTTAGGGGGTTTCGCTTAAGTTCCGAAAGCCCGAAGGGTCCAAACTTCCGAGCGCGACTCCCAAGCCTGTTACAAAAGCGATTTTTCTTCGGAAAAAGCACTGTGCCGGTGATGCTGCATCATAGGCCCACTGATCACCCTGGCCTATCTTACTTTGAAGCCAAGCTTTGGACCCATCCTTTTATTTGCAGCCTGGGCGGTTCCGGGTTTAGGGTTTCTAAGGTGCAACTCTTTCAAACCTTTCTGCTGTTGCCGTTGTGTTTTCTCACTTGGGTCATCTTGGGTCCTGATCGGATGGCTGCGTAGGTCTCGGTCTAGGTGATCCAGGTTCAACGTCCACCCCCCCTAAACCCAAGCAGCTCAAGGTGTCCATGTTATGAAACTCTCGAAAGCTTGCTGTGAAATCTGCTCGCATCGGGCATGCGGAGTTTGCTAGGGTTCAGGGTTCGGGGCTTAGGGTTTCCCTCGACTCTGACCCTACTGAACCGCTTTGGCATCAGCCTCCTTCACCAGGAGGCCTGTGACTTCTTGGGCGCTGAGTACCTGCTCTCGGAGCGCTCTTGCCCCGACATTGGTGCCTTGGCGGTTCAGGGTTTCGGGTTTAGGGTTTCGGGGTTAGGGCTGCATGTATTTCTTAGAATTACGGTCACCATGGCGCACCAAAGCAGAACCCTGACAAGCGGCAACCCCCCCCAACCCCAAAAGGTTGCCCCCAAAATTAGGTAGTAATACCTTTTACCGCGGGTAGTCGCACCACGGAGCGAAACAAGAACACCAACGAGACAACTAGTGGCAATGCTCTGATTACGGTGATTAGAAGACTTCAGAAAGCTGGTTGTAATCAAGGGTTTAGGGTTTAGGGTTTAGGGTTTAGGGTAAGTTTAGGGCTTCAATGCGAAGTGCTGGAACTCCACAGGGTTGAACAGTGCTCGTGCTCCAGATTGCAACTGCGCGACTGACTTGGCTTCTTCTTCTGTATGTGCCGCGTATCGCCTCAAGCAGATTGGACACTGACGGTGAGCGGTGTAAAGCCAGCGCTTTTCACTCGCTTGGATCTGGAACCGCTAACTTGTCAAGTGCAGAGCAGTCTTTTGGGGTAGATCATCACTCTGATCGAGGGTAGAAGGCTGCGTCTTGCTTCCCGCTACAGAAGTACGGAGAAGCCGATCTTGCCAGCTCTTTCCCCCGGTGAGCAACCATGTTCATAGGCAGCGTTCAAACGAGCAAGCAGGCACCACCGGAAGTCGTACAGGCCCATCTCCCCTATGCTCCACTTGCCTGTCTTTCTTTGCCGCATTTTATTGTAAAACTCTTCTGAAGGACAATAAAGGTCCACGCTCAAATCTTGGTTCAGGTGCAAGGCCTTGTAAATGAAGAGACGACGGTTGTCAGCTGAGCAATAATGCCCTCCTTGACACTTAGCGAGAGCATCTCCATTGCTGAACTGTTCTTGGACTTGCCACTGTGTGTTCTTGATGTCGTCAACTGGAACTTTCAGAAGGCCCAAAAGATTCCCTGCCGCATTTTGTCGTCCATTGCACGCTGGAGCCTTTCGGAACACGTGTTCATCCAAGTGGAATATTTTCCAGATGTGCGGGCACAGTTCCCGCAGGCTTGCGAGGACGGATGGTGTGTACCAGGTTCCAGTCCGGACCTTGCTCGTGCCAGGTTGACAACACAGGGTCTACAAAACTCAAAGTCCCGGAGTTCGACTTCTTCGGACGGTTTGGCATGGATCTGGAAAAGCACATCCGAGACACATGTCGACGCCTAGTCCACCCCAAGTGACGACCTTGCTATAGAACTATTTGCTGTGTACGCCCCTTAACTCTCTTCCATTTGCCGAAGTACGTACCAAGCGATCTCGAGTGCAAAAGGCAGTCCGCGATGTCCGGTGGTATTGAGATTGAGGGACGACGCCTTACCCCTAAACCCGCCTAAACCCTAAATCCTAAACCCTAAACCCTGCCCATGTTGCAAAAAAAGAGTACCACGGCAGTGGCCTCAAGGGGAGCGCCCTCAACGGCATTTATCCTAAACGCAGAAGCCCCCAAAACCTGAAACCCTAAGCCCCCCCCCCCCCCCGGGGTTTAGGGTTTAGGGTTTAGGGTTTAGGGTTTAGGGTCTGATGCCCTGACCGTCGGCAGCGCCCGAACACCCCGAATCCTTATCAGCTTCTTTCGCAGCCTTAGGGGTCGCAGAGTGTAGAAAAGCTTAGGCTACAGGATCTTTCAGGAGCCCGTAAGCATCATGTAGCTCCCAGACATTGGAATAGATACACAAATAGATATGACGCCTCAACAAAGTCCCTATACACCGAGGTAACCCCCCGGAAAAACCCTTATATGACCTGCTAGAGTCCCTACAAGGATTCGTCCCTTGATCCCAGGTATCGTTCAGCCCTGCGAGAGCAACTCATGGGAGTTTGGCGGTGGAACGCGCAACCTGTGTGGGCGGCACTTCTGGGACGAGGTGATGGAAGTTGCGACTGTCTGCTTCTGTCTGTTTACCGTCCAGGTGTGTACAGAGTGTCCGGAGATCAACAGAGGCTCACCCTAAACCCTAAACCCAAAACCCTAAACCCTAAACCCCGTAAACGCTTGCGAAACGGGTGGGGAAAAAAAGAAGTAAACCCTAAACCCTAAGTCCAGTCCCTCAGATGCCATCCTACAACCGCGACCAGGACATGGGACTGAACTGCACCCAGCTCACCTACTGCGAGCCAAGTCCCAGGCATTTCGGCACAGCACATTGCGCCGATGCTTTTGTTTCGCAAAGTTCACAGGGAATTCCCCAAACAGCGGTTTTTTTTTTAACAAAAAGGCGCGCAAGGAGATCCCTAGACCCCAAACCCGAAGCCCCAAACCCTAAACCCTCAACCCTAAACCCTGAACCCGAGAGATGTAAGGCACCCCATCTTCGTGGACACCCGTCGCCTGGCCACCTGCTCCTGCAGCGTGCTCCGCTGGACATGCGAGTACGAAACCTTGCGGCTTTGGGAATCAGGGGTGTAGGGGCCCTAAGCTAGGATGCCCAGTAGTGCCCTTATTCCCGTTTTGGGGGGTTTAGGTTCCCTTATAAAACCCCTTTAAGCAAAAAAGGGCACCCTTTTTAAGCCTTGGTTACTGGGCAGCCTAGTAAGGGCCTACGATCGGCACTGCATCAACTACGAGACGGGGCACTCATGGGCACTTTTTGTCCCAGGGTTTCAGGGTATGAGGGGATGATATTCTGAGCGGTGAAGGATGGGAAGTTGCATCGAATACTTGGTCTCAGAGGCAGCGAGTCCATGTCGAATGGTGAGGTTATTCAGTGGGGTGCTTCAGGCTCTGGAATGCCGAGCTGCACAGCCTTTCGTTGAAATGCTAACCCCCTACAGCCCTTACCCCCTCCCCTAAACCCCAAACCCTAAAGCGCGTCCCAGTAGCAACGACCTCTTCCCGGCGAATTTGAGGTTTAGGGCTCGGTGTCTACAGGCCTAAACCCTAAACCCTAAACTCTAAACCCCAAACCCCAAAACCCTAAACCCTAAACCCTAAACCTTAAACCATAACGAGTTCACACACTCAGGACAGCGAGCCCTGCGATGCGAACGACACCTACTACCCACCTGGATCCTCACAGGTTGCTCGAGACGTGCCCCACCTGGTTCTTAGTAGGGAATGGGGGAATATGAGTGCAGGGGGGGGGTTGAGGGTTTAGGGTTTAGGCTTTAGGGTTAGGCCCCTATAATATACAAACCCTTTCAGGGATTATATAGGGCCCTCACTCCCTCACCCCCTGCTAAGAACCAGCCAGGTGCTGAAGCAATGGTCTCCACCACCACCAAAACCACCTGCCACCGGATCCCTGGCTGCAGTTCAGAACCCTAAACCCTAAACCCTACACCCTAAACCCTAAACCCTAAACCCTAAACCCTAGTTATCCTCATATCCTTTGAAGGTCTCAGATTCTGGACCTGACACGCCCTTGCTTGTGGAGAGGCCCAGTTTAGCGCAAATCTGAATCTGTGGACGTGGTGCCTGGTTTTGCCACGCCCTTTTTCCTAGGATGCCCAGTAGTACCCTTATTCCCTTTTTTGGGGGGTTTAGGTTCCCTTATAAACCCCTTTGAAGCAAAAAAGGGCACCCTTCTTATTCCTAGGTTACTGGGCAACCTCGTTTCTTTCTTTCACGACGCACAGCACGTAACAGGCTGCAGCAAATCGCCGAAGAATGAGCGTAACAGAGGTTTGTGGACACAACTCCCCTGACCCCGAGATCCCAAGCTGCAGCGCCAAGAGGTTGCCAACTCAAGTTCTGAATCCCAGCTTGGGGGAGCGTCCTAAAGCCCTCAAACTGTGACAAGACGGGCTCATGAGCAGACCTTGAAAAACAAGCAGCACACAAGTGTTAGCTAACGTGGGATCGAGGCCCTAGGCCCTAGTGAGACTGCTTCTGAAAACCCTGAACCCTTTAGCCCCAAACCCTAAACCCTAAACCCTAAACCCTAAACCCTAAACCCTAAACCCTAAACCCTAAACCCTAAACCCTAAACCCTAAACCCTAAACCCTAAACCGCAAGTGTTGCAAGGATGGGCCACCGGGTCATGGCTCGTCCCGTTCACTGTGCTGGGAGTCCTCGGCCTTAGTGCCCTCGGATTCCTTCGCGCCCGGAGGCGCGCAGCACAACCGGACGAGTATCACCCGCTGACGTGAACACAAGTTCGCATCCAATACAGCTGTCGAAAAGGATTCCCAGCAGTACCAAGAATGGTTGAACAGGCCTCTTCTCCATTCCATGCTTCACTTATGAAAGCTCTGGGCTTTGACCTTTCTAGTGGTCGTTCATGTTCGGGTTTCTGACGTTTGGGTTTTGCTCGGTAGACGGACGCATGGGGCTTTTTCCAGGAAAGATGTTGGGGAAACAGGCCCCAAGAGTGTATCTATATATGTATACACGCATATTACTCTTTGCCTGTGTATGGTCTAACTGTGTTGTACTATTGCTGCTTCTCATAGGATTTGTTTATATATGGATCAGGACAAGTTGGTAAAACCATTTCTACACTTGCATACATACCGATCTTTCCTAAATTGATTCTTGGGACATTTGTTAATTTCTTTCTTTGGGTTTCTACATTCAAACATTTTTCAGATATTTTAGAGGCCAACCCAATCTCTTTTTCTTATCGTGCCAATATTTCCCTACTTTTACATATATTATCTAAAATCCTAAACCCTAAACCTTGAATGGTCTACATCGGATCAACCTCTGCCACCAACCTTATTATTAATCATTTAAAGATTCGGGAAGGATCTGATAATGATTAAATATTCAAATACATTCAGAATATTTTTAAGATATTTTTTATACATTTATAAATATCATCATCAATATATTAGGATATAAATATATTTTCATCCTCACGAATCTTCAAATTCTTTTCTATGCATTCAAACGCCCACCACCCCCCCGAATTTTCGTAGTCAACTAAAATGTCTAGGAGCTTGCCAGGGTGCAAGAGACTTCTACTCCCAAAAGCACCAATTAAGAAATAAAATGAAACCTGAGTTTTTGATTCTTCCATTCTGAAACCGAGAGAATCCCATACCAGGGAAAAGAACATCCACTCACGAAATCCCATAATGAAACAAGCCACGCTTGGGCAATGTAGCCGCCGCCACCCCCAATTCTCCCAAAATGAAGAAAAGAGACTTCTACTCTAATCCATGAATTCAGAAACTAAGTCAAGTTCATTCCTATTCTATTTTGGGGTGGGCGGTTGCCACACAGCGCCTTGAAGCCCTGTGTCCCACTTGGAAGGATGGTTTTCAGCGGGATGATACGAGGCTGAAATTTCAGGAGCTGGTTGCGCAAGGAGTGGAGGCGTCGCGCAGAACATTTCTTGGCACCCTCTCTTCGTTGGATCTCACGAGAATGAAATCTTACGGCGAGAGTTGGGCTGATGGGTGGGTGTGTAGTGCTCCGAATCTCACGTTTGGGACTTGTTTTACCAATGTTGCATTTTCTGATGCTTTATCTATGCGACTTGGTCTTCAAGTATTTGACGGAGATGAAGGATGTGGTATGTGCCCCCAAGTTTCGGATAGTTGGGGTCATCATTGTATCGCTTGTCCGATGATCGGTAAAACGCCACTTCATAATTGTGTTCGAGACGAGATTTTTCGAGGTCTTTCAGGGGGTGGTATTGGGTTGAAGTTAGAACCGAGTGGCTTGTTGCCAGCGACGCCCGATCTTCGACCAGCTGATATCCTCACGATCCCGACCCCTCTGTGTAGACAATCCGCTTGGAACTTCCTCCCACGTGTGGCACTGGACTTTGCGATAGTTTCTCAGTTTATTGCTGGTGGTAGCGTCTCCAATACGGAACGGTACGCTGAACAGAAGCGAACGAATCGACAAATCCAGCAACGTTGTCATGAGCAAGGGATAGGTTTTGAACCGATTGTGTTCGACTATGCCGGTGGTTTGAATGTAGAGGGACGACGTATACTGGACTCGTTGTGCAAAGCTGCAGATGAACCCCTCGGACGGCCGCCAGGCCGAACGCGGAGCCTGTTGCAGGAGCGTATTTCTATACTCTTGCAACGCCACGTGCATGTCTGCTTGGAGCGCCGTCGCACGGTTCATCGCCGGGAGCCTGAGATACTTGCAGAGAATTTCGTGCTTGCTTGAAGATTACTTACGTTTACCAGGGTGGTGATCGGCGCTGGCCTTTTCTATAGGAAAATGATGTTCCTCGCTACAGGCCCCTCGCGCAGGTCTTGAGATGATCGATAGTTCTCATGGTATCAAAGAATACTGCTGTCGAAGGAGGTTGTTTCATTTCTCGTGTTTCACGTTCGTTGTTCATTTCAAGATGGGAATTCGGATGCCAACTGTGTTCTTCTCGTCTCCCGCGATCGTGGGACCTGGGGCTTAATTCGGGGTGGTGGCGGGCTTTTAATGTGCCTTGGGTCCCTTGATTGCTTTCGTTGCTGCCTTTTGTGTGACTGGATGTTAGGGCATCCGATATTATGGGAGCATAAGTCTCCTTTCAAGTGGTGCTTTGGGGATAGAAGTCTCTATGGCGCCGCCGAATCTCTCTCAATGAAGATTTAGAAATGAATTGGTGCTTTTGGGAGCACAAGTCTCTTGCACCGAAGAGAAGCATATGAATCTGATCATCGATGGATGGAAAAAAATCATATTCGTATAAATGAGAATCAAATAATGGTCCCGAATCACTTGTTGGGGGTTTACCCTTACTACTTGGAGATTTTGCATGGGATCTCGGGAAGGTTCAGGTCATCTGTCGGGTTTCGGGCGCAGGACGGCAAAGTTGTTTCCAGCGCGCTGCCGTAGGTGTGCAAAGGCGCTGCGTTCAATCAGACTCCTCTGCTTCCAGCCTCATCAAGCTCTTGCGGTGTCACAACTTAGTTGTCCAGTATCCTAGAGGACTGAAGGTTAACCTTTCAGATTATGTAAGGATTATACTACCCCAAAAAATTTAAAGGTTACCTACTCCACTACTAAGACAAAAAGACCTTCAGGTGTGTCAAGTGGCAAGCATTCGACTGAATTCGAATTGGTCATGTCGACCCAAGTTTCCTGACCACAATTTCCCCGTAGCCTGCGCCCCGAAACCCAACCCACAAAGCCCTCCAAGCCTCACCCTTGAATGGTGAGGTACTGCAAGTTGGACACAAACTTGCGACGACAGGTTGAGGGTGTAACCCTAAACCTTATCCCCTAAACCCTAAACCCCAAACCCTAAACCCGAAACCCGAAACCCGAAACCCGAACCCTAAACTAACCTTATCCCTGAACCTTGAACCCTGAACCCTGAACCTTAAACCCTAAACCCTAACGCCTAAACCCTAAACCCTAAACCCTAAACCCTAAACCCTAAACCCTAAACCCTCAAGGCCAGGATAAATAGAAATTGTATGTGATTCAATACGAGAAGCTCGTGCAATAACCCTTCATCTTTCACAGTGTAAAACGGAAGACCAAAACAAGCGTGACTCTCAGGCACCAACAGACTCAAAAGGAGAAAAGTTCAAAAGATTCGGCCAGATTCCCCAGGCCACCAAGCAAGCCCCCAACAGCCCCACCATCAGGGCTGAGCTGGGGCGGGGTGGGGCGGGGGGGCATCAGCCCCAGCCCCAAGCCCCAGCCCCAGCCCCAAGCCCCAGCCCAGCCCCAGCCCCAGCCCCCCAGCCCCACCAGCCCCAGCCCCAGCCCAGCCCCAGCCCCAGGCCTCGGCCCCAGCCCCGGAGCCCCAGCCCCCAGCCCCCAGCCCCAGCCGCAGCCCTGAAAGTTCAAAAGGTAAGTTTAAAAAACAAAACCCGCCAAAACCCCCCGAAACCCCCCAAAACCCCCCAAAACTCCCGACACAAACCCTATACAATTTCTATAAACCCTAAACCCTAAATTTTAAACCCTCAAGGCCTACATGGAATTCCATATGGGGGAGTCTCGGGAGGGAGCTGAGGATGGCACGCAGCTGCCTTTGCAGCCTGGGAGCGGAGGACTCTTTCATTGGGGTTCAGGGGTTAGGGGGTTTAGGGTTTAGGGTTTAGGGTTTAGGGTCTAGGGTCTAGGGTTTAGGGTTTAGGGAGGGTGTTAGGGCTTATAGAAATTGTACAGGGCTTGTCGGGGCTTTATGGGGATGTTGGGGAGGGTTTACGGGGTTTTGACGAGTTGTTTGTTGCTTTCCGGGGCCTTTTGGGGCACCCCGTGCCTCTTGGGGCCTTTTGGGGCCTCCCATCTTTTGGCCTTGGCACGATCAACCTCTCTACCATATAAACCTAAATGTTAAACACGATTTGGCGTTTCGACCCCCATGCATTGTTCAGCACGAATTTGGCGTTTTGACCCGTCTCCCATTTGGCCCATTGTTCAACACGAATTTGGCGTTTTGACCCGTCTGACCCGTCTGGTTCTTCCCCATGTTCGGGGCGTTTTGACCCGTCTGACCCATTTGGCCCCCCATTGTTCAGCACGAATTTGGCGTTTTGACCCAAATCGGCCCCTCTGACCCCTTTCGTTTAGGGTTTCAAGGCCTCGCTGCCTGGTGTGTAGGGTTTCAGGGCCTCAAGGCCTGGCCTGATGTTTAGGGTTTCACGACCACGGCCTGGTATTTAGGGTTTCAGGGCCTCAAGGCCTGGCGTTTAGGGTTTCAGGGCCTCAAGGTCTGATATTTAGATTTTCAAGGCCTCACGGCCTAGTGTTTAGGGTTTCAGGGCCTCAAGGCCTGGTGTTTAGGGTTTCAAGGCCTCACGGCCTGGTGTTTAGGGTTTCAGGGCCTCAAGGCCTGGTGTTTAGGGTTTCAAGGCCTCACGGCCTGGCGCATAGGGTTTCAACGCCTCAAGGCACGGTCTGGTGTTTAGGGTTTCAGGGCCTCAAGGCCTGGTTTCAACCTCACGGCCTGCAATTTAGGGTTTCAGGGCCTCAAGGCCTGGTGGTTAGGTTTCAAGGCCTCAAGGCCTGGTGTTTAGGGTTTCAGGGCCTCCAGGCCTGGTGTTTAGGGTTTCACGGCCTCACGGCCTGCCGTTTAGGGTTTCAGGGCCTCAAGGCCTGGTGGTTAGGGTTTCAAGGCCTCAAGGCCTGGTGTTTAGGGTTTCAGGGCCTCAAGGCCTGGTGTTTAGGGTTTCAGGGCCTCAAGGCCTGGTGTTTAGGGTTTCACGGCCTCACGGCCTGCCGTTTAGGG